AGAGGAAAGGAGGAGGGCCTGGGGCACAAGTTAGAATTGGGGGGGTCCCTGCCTACATACCTTCCTAAGCCAGGCCCTAGAATTGGTGAGTAAAAGCATCTACTCCATTATTTTTATATTTAAATATTTTATGATATATAGATGTCTCCAGCAAGGAAGTTTCACAATTTACATTTTTCAATAACCAGAAATTAGATCGGTAATCCAAAATTGAAGTTTTAATTATATAAACAAAAAAAGTATATTTTAGCCTTTTAGGGTTTGTCAGTACAACTTTTGTATTCATATGAATGTGGAATTTTTTTATTTTTTTATTTTTTTGAGACAGACTCTTGCTCTGTCACCCAGGCTGGAGTGCAGCGGCACAGCCTCAGCTCATTGCAATCTCCATCTCCCAGGTTCAAGCACTTCTCCCACCTCAGCCTCCCAAGCAGCTGGGACTACAGGCACATGCCACCAGGCCTGGCTAATTTTTGTATTTTTAGTAGAGACGGTTTCACCATGTTGGCCAGACTGATCTCGAACTCCTGACCTCAAATGATCTGCCCGCCTCGGCCTCCCAAGGTGCTGAGATTACAAGGCATGAGCCACTGCACCTGGCCTGAATGTAGATGCTTTAAAATGTCCCTCTTTTGAAAGCATGCTAAAACTTAATAGCCCACTCAGGGTCTTTTTATTTTTTATATTTTTATTTTTGAGACAGGGTACTGCTCCATCACCCAGGTGGGAATGCAGTGGTGAGATCATAGCTCACTGCAACCTCAAACTCCTGGGCTCAAGGGATCCTCCTGCCTCAGCCTCCCAAGTAGCTGGAACTATAGGCACGAGCCACCACGCCCAGCCTATTATTCTTATTTTGTTAAAAATAGCTTTTTACAAGCAGTTTTGGAATTTAAAACTTTTTCCTTTCCCCGTCCTCAGCCACACCTTCAGTCTTGCTTAGTTCCTATTTTAGTCTTTCACAAGCTTGTATAATGTACAGATGCCTTTAAAGAAAAAACAATTCTCAATGATTCTTAGTGTTTACTTAATGTTTCTCATCAAATGTACAAATATAAAACTATTATAGTTCTCATACTACCATCAATACCAAAACATCTGCACATTAAATACAAATGCAATTACAAAGTCAATATAATTCGAATTCACAACATTAATATGCAGGGTGATAATTTTGCTGAAACTGCATCACCTTATATGGTGTGAACAGGGACTTCAATAGAGAAAGTCATGATTTCATTGCACAGATGTTACCTACCTTGTACAATGAGATGTCTCAATTTTCTACCACCTTTTTTTAATTCGAACAACTATGAAACCTTCATTTCCCTAGTCTGCCATAAAACTGTTGGGTCTTCATGGGGTGTAAAGGCATCGTTTATGTGTTCTGTCCATCTTGGTTCTTTCCACTAGTTCATGATACTTACAATAATGTAACCTGATACCCAAACCATTAAAAACACAGACACTGGAATGGCGTGGTAGTATCAGTGGTCATCAGCTCATCTGGGACATGCTGATACTAATGCTTTATGTAATTACTAACAAGTTCTTACCAAGAGCTTATTACTATGCTAGGCATCCTTCTACAGCAGTTAAATGGGGAGACAAGGTCCTTTTTCCCACAGAACCCACACTCTGATAGGCAGAGTGAGGATGAATAAGAAACTCACATAGCATGGTAAGAAAATGAACCGGGGTGGGTGACAGCGAGGCGATGGTGGTGGAGTGAAGGTCCATTCTAGACAGACAGTTAAGGAAGCCGTCGCCGGGAAGGGAACATTTGCTCTGAAAGAGAAGATGAGATCTAAGCCGTGTGAGTGCCAAGGTAGAGAGAAAAGCAAGTTTAGAGCTCAAGAGGGAGAAACGTGCTAGGCAAATCGGAGAATCAGTGGGAAGGCAGACTTGGCCAGAGCCCGGTGGGAGATGTGGAGGGCATGGCAGCTAAGGGCAGAGGAGTGCGCAGGAGCCAAATCCACAGGGTGTTGTGGGCCTGCATACAACTCTGGGTTCTGACCCAAGTGGGGCAAGAAGTCACCAATAAGATTCGAGGTGTTATTTAAAGCCGGGGACTGGAGGAGCTCAGCTAGGAAGTCAGGTAGATGGGGAAAAGACGATGGAGCTCCAGCGCCGAGCTGCAGTGGCTCTGCGGCCCCACAGCAACAGCATCGCCTGGGAGCACGTGAGAGACGCAGAATCGTGGACTCCACCGCAGACCCACTGAATCATCACCTGCTTTTCCCACATTCAGAATGAGGATCTACGCTCTAGCACGCCAACAGTAAGAAGACGGGGAAAAGAGGAGAAGCAGACACAGACAACTGAGAAGGAGCGACCTGGGGATGGGAGGAAATCTGGACAGCCTGGCATCCCAGAAACCCAGAGAAGCTGGGGCTGCAAGAAGGAAGGAGGGGTCAAGCAAGCCAAAGGCTACCATTAAGCAGGCAAAGACTGGAGCATCACTGCACAAGGCGGGATGCAGATGGAAGGTGACCTTAGCAAGAACTTTGATGCCAGAGTGGAAGGCATGGAAGCTTGACCAGAATGGGCTAACAAAAGAATGGAGGAAAAACAACTCTTTCCAAGGATGTTAATCATGCAGAAATTAACATTAAAAAAAAGGCTGTCTTAGAAAACAGATGCCCACCCCACACTCTTCCCCTTTACCCCAGTATGAAATCTGCTATATTTGCTTCCTCTCTCCAGGGATGTGTTTACAGTCATGGGGGTTGGGGGTGCAAATGAAAAGATATAACCTGGTATTTATGCTCAAATATTTCTGAGCAGGACCATTACCTAATTTTACGGACTATTACTTCTTTCCTTCCTCTGGCTGTTGCCTGTTGTCCTGAGTTGCAGCTGAGCCCCTGAGGGTGTGACAAGATCAGCGGAAGAGGTATGGTCTGTGTTTAACAAAAACCAGTTGCAGAAGCATGTGGAAATACTTCCTTATCCTGGGAATGCCAATAAAAACATTGATAAGAGAATCCAAACCAGATAAAAAGAGTCACTTCTTTTCCCTCTCCTCTATAGCCATTCATGCCTACCTTCTACCCCCAGACTACTCCAGGTGGAGGGAACGTACATAGAATCACATTCTCAAGGCAAAAAGGCTTTTGGGGACCACATCTAACACACCCCTGCCTTCCCTTAAATGAGTCACTTTCAAACTTCCTAGTTTCAAATTTGTAGGCCCAAACCTCTGCTCTGGGATCTATTTCCATGTCCATCACCACTGGGTCCCTAACACTGGGAGTTAGGATTTTAACCTCCAATATGAATTTTGTGAGGACACATTCAGCCCATAGCAAATGGATGGCAATAAAAGCAAGGGGATGGGAAAATAGTACAATAGCATCCTCCAGCAGCATGAAGCCACCATACATTCAGTACATAGAAAATGAATTGTTCACAAGTTTTTTCTAACTTAGTTCCCTAATGGCTGAGTCTTTATCTTCCTGCTTTTCTTATACCAGTAATGCAACAATAGCAACTCCAGTTTATTTTCTTCCACCTAAAGCCAATACTGACACTAGGTCCCTCACCTTCGCCTTACTATCTCACAACATACAACCTGGGAGCAATTTTTAGTTTGCAATAATAATAATAATAATGTAATTAACTCTTGAACACTCTTACTATGTACCAAGTACTCATCTAAGTACTTTTACATTAAACATTAACCTACTCTGCACTATGCTGTCCAAAGCCATCCTCCAGACATTAACTCAGTGTTGAACATTAACAAATGCACTTCCATTTGGGTGGTTAACTGATGACCACAGAGCAAACTGCAAAAAGAGAATAGTATTTAAATGTCTTCGTTTTCTCCTAGGGGCTCAGTTTATGAAGGTTCTTGTATTAAAAACCAAAGTGCAATTTATTTTCCTGGGTAGATCTCTCCCATGGGAGCCTTCTTTGAGTCATACCATTGGAAGTCATGGGGTGAAGCCCTGGACACATCTACCCTGTTCTCTGACTTCCTGAGGGTGGCAGGAAGCAGACATTCCTACCAGAACAGTGCCAGATTGTGAAATGCAACAGGCAATAAAAGAAAAAAAATCACTGCAAGGAAGGGAGAAAAAAACTGAAGAGGAAAAAGGAAGAAACATAAAAGGGAGACAATGAAAAATTACCCTCTGGCAGGGTTTAAGGGTTCTTTTGTTTTTGTTTTTTAATCACTCATCTATAGATGATAGGGCCCCACATGGACTTCATTTGTTCACCTAGGCTGGTTACAGCTCCAGTGACTTCTCTGCTTGTAAAATGTGAGCAGACAGGTGTAGGCAGAAGACATGATGAATCAATTTAAAGAAGCCAAGAATATTTAATAATGAAAGGGGAGACATTAAAACCCCACAATCAGCATCCCAGAGAAAAACCTGCCTCCAGAAAGCCTTTCACTTAGGCCTCGGAACAATCACTCACATCCATATCCATGATCTCAGGCAGGACCCTGCTGCCGTCCTCGTCTACGCAGGAGCACACGATGCCTGACAGCTCCACATACTGAAGAGCAGGGACAGGCCCAGATCCGAGGCCACGCAAGTCACCACTCTGTACTTCCTTCTCAGGGTGCTTCCTGCTGTAAAAGTGGGCTCTCCTGCTCTAAAGCAGGCTCAGAATATTTAGGGAAAGGGGCCATTTTTTCCTTCAGGTAGGTGATTATATTCTTTCCACTGAGAAACATTCTCCCGATCCTAATGCTTGTTTTAGCCAAAAGTATCTTGCCAGACCCTTAACCGGGAGCTCTTACATCTCAATGCACCACCAAGAACATTACCTGGACGGATGTCCTAAGCCCAGGTGTGTTGGAGGAAAGAGGGGTCCTTTTGGTGTTTAAGGGTAGAAAGGGAATTAGGAAATTTGGTTTAAGAGCCTCTTGACAGCACAAGGATGCCTATACTCTTTCTATATATAATGGTGTATTAGTCAGCTTGGGCTGCTATGACAAAATATCACAGAGCGAGTGGCTTAAACAACAGAAATATATTTCTCACAGTTCTTGAGGTAAGAAGTCCAAGACCAAGGTACCAGCCAATTCAGTTCCTGGTGAGGGCTCTCTTCTTGGCTTGCAGACAGCTGTCTTCTTGCTATGTTCTCACATGGCCTTTCCTTGGTGAGAGCACACAGATTCTCTCTCTCACTCTTTCTCTTCTTATAAAGCCAATAATCTCATTATAAGGGCCTCATCTTCATGACCTAATCTAACCCGAATTACCTCCCAAAGATCCCATCTTCAACTACCAAAACACTGAGAGTTAGGATTTTAACCTCCAATATGAATTTTGTGAGGACACATTCAGCCCATAGCAAATGGATGGGAACAAAAGCAAGGGGATGGGAAAATAGTACAATAGCATCATCCAGCAACATGGAGCCACCACACATTCAGTACATAGAAAATGAATTGTTTACAAGCTTTTTCTAACTTAGTTCCCTAATGGCTGAGTTTTTATCTTCCTGCTCATTTATCTCTTTTCAAGAGCTGTCAGACTAAAAAGAATGTAACTGCATTAAAAATTATATGAAACAACTTCACTCAAGGGGGTGATAGAAAAATGTGCTGACCGAAATAACTCCAGAAAAGAGTGGAATCTGTAAGACCAAAGGCAAAGGTACTATACATAAGTATTTCACTATAGTTGATAAAGTTATTTCCCATAGAGGAATGCATTAATGATTCCGAAACCACTATATGTGTATACTGGAATTGAACAATTAAGTAAATAGATGCCAGGTGGTGGGAACCTGCTTACTGCTGGAGAAGTTATAGACATGCAGGGGGAGGAGGTTAGAATGACCCATGTGGTAATTGATTCAAGTGGAGACATCCGTATGAACTCATGTTTCATCTGATATGTAGATGGTTACATACAGGAATATGTATAAATATGTCTATATACACAGGCTAGTGTATACATCTATGTTTTCTTGCTCTCTCAGCTGAGAGCACCTAGAAGCAACAGTACTCCAGTATCAATGAGTACTTAGCACCCAAATCTTAGTCTCTAATACCAATAAGTTCTGCAATAAAAGGAAACAGGGTTCTTTGAATAAATGGCTTATTATTCTAAGACTAGGGCAGGAAATATACAAGATGAGCCTGGAGTATCCTACAGTGCCAGAAATTAAACAAGTACTTAAAAAAGGAACCAAAATTACCCACAATGATTAAGGTACACAGGAGTCAACTAAAAGATCTCCCAATGGCCCAAAAAATAAAGTAGTATTGGATAACTCAAAGTATAAAATAAATATCCATGAATCCACATTTATGACTAAATAAATACATAAATGGGGAAGAGCAGACAACTTGCCCATGCAGAATTCCAAATAATTTATTTGGATAACCTGTCCCAGAGGACAGGGAACATAACTCCTTACTTCTTATGTGTGGGCTGTACATAGTGACTTCCTCCCAGAAGCTACAGCATAGAAAGAGGGGGAAAAGAATAATTTCACAGTGGAGAAACCTGGCAGACACTAACTGAGCCAGGCACAAGCTTTATCAAGATCAATATCAGTAGTGACAAGTCATGTTGGTATGTCCTTTGATGAGAAGGGCACTTTATCTCTGTGGTCTTCTTCCCAATGCCCCTAATCCCAGCCTAATCGTGAGAAAAATATCAAATTCCAATCCTAGCAAATACCCAACCAATACCCTTCAAAACCATCAAGGTCATCAAAAACAAGGAACGTCTCAAACCATCACAGTCAAGACATGACAACTAAATGTAGTATCCTGGATGGGATCAGGGAACAGAAAAAGGATATTAAATAAAACTAAGAAAATCAGGATAAAGTGTGGACTCTAGCTAATAATAACTTATCAAAAATGTTTCATTAATTATGGCAAACCAAATGTTTGAGATTGATAATAGGGGAAATTGGGTGTAGTTTCTGTACAATCTTTGCAATTTCCTTATCAATCTAAAGCTATTCTAAAATTAAAGGGTTTTTTTTTTAAAGCAATGCCAAGAAAAGGGAGGCACCAGGCAGTGAAACCCACTGATGTACTCAGTGTGGTCACTCCAGTGCTGCACACCCAACTCCTGACTCACCCGCCACCTCTGGCATGTCGGGTGGCCAGCGCAGAGAAACTCACATCATTCAATAGGTAATTGGGCACACACGCTGGTCAGGTCTCAGAACACTGCTCTCAGATTATGCCTCTGCCAGGAAGAACAGGGCAAACATCTCCCTGGGCCAGTGAACACAGAGCATCACTTCACAGGTACATAAAGAGAAGCCCAGCAAGTCTCCAAGCTCAAGGGACTAGACAAGGTAGGGTGTGAATATGAGCTATGTGGTGATAATTTATGAGCTGTGGACAGTTTCCCACAAGCCAAAGAGTAGAACTAGAGGACTAAAAAACCGCAAACTGCCATCTTATGGAAGGAAGAAGGAGCAAGCAGGGAGCTGGGCAACCATGGTAGACTGACCCTCCCCAGAAAACATGCTTCTCCAAGACAGACATGATAATTGGATGAAAAACAGAAGAACTGATGTTAGTCACAGAGCAGAACGGGAGAAACCAAATAGGAGGAAAAAAAAGAGAAACAAGGATGGAGAGCAAGAAATGAGTACCAAAAAATGAGATATGAGACGGAGGCAATTATATAGAACAAGATATTCATTACACTTGTTTAGCCATAGGAAGCCACAGTGGCAGGAAACACAGACTGGGGTGTTATTGTGGCTGAAAATAAGGGGTAGCCAAGTTAAAACACTCTTAATAAGCACCACCTGAGAACCCAGCAGCCCTGACCCACAGGCAAGAAGGTTCCTCTCCTCCCCAGCAATGCCTCTTCCCAGCTTCTCCTCTCTTGTAAATGCTTCCTCCTTAACCAGCCACCTGGGTGTCTCTGATGGTGACCCAACATCTCAGACAACTTGGACTGCTGCTTCTACTACCAACCCCCAAAGGCTCAAGCCACCTCCGCCCCTGTTCGTATGTAAAGCCAGTGCTGTCAAAGCTCTGTACCACTTAGCTGAAGACAGTGTCTGCCACCCAGTGACAAAGAACCAATCCAGAGACCCACCAAATACCCAGGAAACACCTCCCTAGACCCTTTCCCATCACCTCTCCTTCACAGCAGCTGTATTTTCACATTTAGATGATTTTTGTTTTAATTAATATTTGTCTCCATCATCCATCTGTAAGATCCACGAGAACAGGGGCTATGTTGGCTTTTGCTCACCTTTTCCCCCCCCCATATCTGGCATAATGCAATTGCTTATGAATTGAATGAATAAATGAATGAGAGAGACTCCTTTTCCCCAGCAATCTGGAATCCCCAGAAGGAAAAAAAAAAAAAAGCAGCACTATTTCAATTCTGAGTGACTAACGTAGAGTTTGACGTTGGAGTCAGTTTACCCACAGAAATGGCAGTATAGGCTGGGTGCAGTGGCTAATGCCTATAATCCCAGCATTTTAGGAGGCCAAGGCAGGTGGATCACCTGAGGCCAGGAGTTCAAGACCAGCCTGGCCAACATGGCAAACCTCATCTCTACTAAAAATACAAAAGTGAGCCAGGTGTGGCGGCGCACGCCTGTAATCCCAGCTACTCAGGAGGCTGAGGCATGAGAATTGCTTGAACCCAGGAGATGGAGGCTGCAGTGAGCTGAGATCCCACCATTGCACTCCAGCCTAGGTAAGAATAAAAAAGAAGAAAAAAGAGAAGAGGAGAGGAGGGGAAGGGAGGGGAGGGGAGGGAGAAAGGGCAGTATAAACAATGATTAGGTATTTGGTGCTATTAAACAAACTAGGTATGTAATGGTGCAGTAATAAATAATACTGAGCATTCATTGTGCATTTACCAAGTGCTAAGTACTATGTTAAACACCTTATATGCACTATTCAGCAACCCTGCCAGGTAAGTATTAATTATCACCATTTTGCAGGTGAAGCAACCGAGGCTCAGTGGTTAAACCAGATAGAAGTCATCAAGGCCTGTCTGAGTCCAAAGACCACTCTCTTCATGACACCAGAGTTCAGCTATACCACAGCTACTATTGTAGCTGAACTCTGGAATAGATGTTGGTTGGGGGCCTGGAACCTAACCACCATTTATGACACTGAATCCTCAGGAAGATGCATCCTAACTCCAAACAATCAATTAATTGCAAAATAAGCTTTTAGAACTCATCTGGTTTGTAGGTTGGGGACCACCTGCAGAGGATTATGAAGAGAAAGGAGGCTGAGGATGTGGTTTCCAGGTAACCAACCCTCCAGCATTGACTGAGCATCTGTGTGTGAATCCCAGCAGTAGAGACAAGCTCCCAGGACACTGTGATACCAAGTGCCTTCTGAGAGCAGCGTGCCAGTCTGTAGGCTTTCCTGGAGCACAGAAGCAAGATGGCTGCAGGCAGCTGTAGGCCCAGACACCAAGAAGGCTATCTTAACAGCAGAGATAGAGGGGTCATGAGAGGATGCTGGCTTAAGTAGAAGGAAGAGCAGGATGCAAAGGTCTAGCCAGCGCTCTTAGAGGAAAATGAGAGTGTTCCTGATGACTTTGAAGAGGTGGTGAGTTGGGGTTCCAACAGCACTGGGAACAGAAACATCTTCCACCTAAACAAGCAGTGAGAGCAAGTTACCATCCCGCAACTCTGAACAAAAAAAAAAGAATGGTCGGTTTCCAACCCCACATGTAAAGAGCTTGGAAATTGTTACTCTCATCCTTACAATTGAAAAAGAAAAAAAGCTGAGCAAATCGAAGAGGGGGTGGCTGCTTCAAGGGGCTAACACAGCGACTAAAAGAGATCAGGAATGTGGAAGTACCTTTTCAATTGCAGTACACTCAAGAACTAGAAGGCATCAAATCCATATTTCTGTGGGTTTTTTCAATCTAATCTCTGATATGTGAGGACTACAGAGACAACAGTAGCTCAGTCTCAGAGAGCAGGTGCACTCACAACACAGAGGCTCCAGAGCAGGGATCCCACAGCCGGCGAAGGGACACTCAGGGAAGCAGCCACCATCACTAATCCCACTGGATGTTCACTGGGAGAAAATCAGGAGAGACTAACCTTGTTCCGTTTTCTGGCAGGGCTACTACAGAAGGAGCCCAAAGAACCGTGATCATGCAGCTGGATTTCTGAAAGGCATCATC